ATTTATTGAAAAAAAAAATGAACTGTTTTTAATAACTTTAACAATTAATTCATACAATTCAATAGCTAAAACTAATGTAAATTAATTCCAAAAATTAAAATGTAACATAAGGATGACCATTTTCAGTATAATAAGCTAATAATTAACCATTTCTTTCCTTTGATATCCACGAAAAATCACAATTACAAAGTAAATGTGTTATTGTAAACTTTTAACGATTTGAAAAATATATATTAGATTTATTAAACCCAAAAATATACTATACAAAAATATTTAAAACTTTAGATAGGTAACTATGATTTAAAAAAAAAAGTTACAAAAATAAAATCAAAAATTTTTAATAAAAAGAATCGTAACATTAAACAAAAAAATGTGTGAGAAAATTAATCAGTGATTTTAAGAATTTTAAAGTTTGTAGGACGCTAAAGTCGTCAATTATCTTCTAACCAATACCCTCCGCTCCAAAGAAAACCTTAATTCACCACAAATTGTGAATCCAGGAAAATTCACCAATAAATCGATGTGAAAGATAAAAATCATAGCAGAGCAATAAAAATAGTAAAAAAAAAAAACAATCAAGCATCTTCTAACGAAATAAAACACAAAGATGCATTCCACATTTCTGTTGAGATGATGGAGATGTCTCGATACAAGCAAAACATGTTACAACTTGTCTGATCAATATATTTTTTTTTACAAAGGTATTTGATACAAGAAAAAAGACGACCAATCAACTTTTTTAAGGAACCGTAGTGAATATTGATAAAAAAAAATTACAAATTGCGGATTTGTGAAAACAAAATATCTTCCGTATGCATATGCTGTACTTTTTCACATATAATATTGTATATGTCCAACAATTTGCTCAAAATTCTTAATCTTCTAACATAGATAATTATTTACTATAACAACAATTTTTTGCAATATTAAATACATAATAATCAATAAATTAGAATTATTGAATATTTTATCATGTTAATTTTTAAATCCACGTAACACGTGAAAAATATCTAGTATAGTTATATAGATAAGAAAACAAAAAAAAAATACTTTTTCATTTCAAGCCAATCACTATTTTTTATTTACAAAGAATTAGTTATTTTTATCAAAT